TTTTGCGGTACTGGGGATTGAACTCCAGACCTTGCACTTGCCAGGCAGGCACTTATTCTACTGAGCTATCTCCCTGGCCCTCATTTGGCTATTACATGTCATTAATATTTTATTATAAATTAGTTTATAATTGCTTTCTCTACAACAACTGCAGGGAGGTTAGGGCTACAGGAAGAGCTTCATAAGCTCACAGAAATGATATTTCCTAAGCCAGTCACCTCGAACAATAATAGATATGTAACACGGATTATCTAAGTCTTAAAACATTTTTGAGAGAAAGTATGAATATTCCTATTTTACATATGAGGAAACTTGATTTACAGAGGCTAAGAGATTTGCTTAAACTGACAAAAAGGGTGATTCGGAATTCACACCCAGAATAATTTGGGCTTGAAGTTCATGCTCCCCTGTTCCATGAGCTCACAGATAGCAAAAGAGATCTAAAAAATACCGAGGCTCACTTGCTTACCTCACAGTCCTGCTTTGTGTTGGCTTTTTGTCATCTAGAAAAACCCTAACAACTTACTAGACAATGAGTTCAGATAAGGACAGAGTCCAAATCTTACTTTTTTAGAGACTTGGTATCTATGTGTGGAAGAGGGTGGTACCCATGGTTTTTTTAATTAAAAGAAAATTATTGTTGTTCTCATATCCTTTCACTTTGCTTGTCAAATACTAAATAATTGATATCTGAAAGGTTCAAGTTAACGTTCCTTCTATTAACTGTTTCTTCTTGACTTTTGAACAGGTTCAATTCAGACAAGGAATAAGGAACTTAGACTAGAGGTACTACAAGTGTAACATAAGAGACTTGAGGTATAATATCAGCACAGTGTATACTCAGTTTTCAGACTGTATAGATTCAGCATTTCATTTCATGTAAGTGAGACAGATGATGACTTTGTTAAATGCCACGTCTGTCCATCTACATACTGACCTCCTAGTACTATGCTTTGTCTTCTAGTAAATGTCCTTAAATGCCATGAGAGGAATGTGTACTGCCAGCACTGCAACACCAGATAACCAGAACCAGGCAGTGCTCCATGTGGTGGAGTCAGAGGTCAGAGGTGAGCAGCATGGGACAAGCCAACCCCCAATCCCATCCCACGCTCAATTCTATGGTAGCAGAGCAACCTCATTTTCCTAGTCCAGCTTTCAGCTGTGTTGAAATGTGTTGACCCTTGACAGCATCTTTTTGCACTCAAAGTGTATATTTAAAACAAACTTAGATGGATACATACATGTGTAGAGCTTTTTTTGTTTTTCTAACAACATTTTTCCTTGATTCTATTAAATGGAACTGTTTTGCTTTACTGATAGAACCTCTTTAAGAATCATACTTTTTATGAATGAGAATTCCTAACTTGTTGATTTAAGGTCATAATTTTTAGGTCTCTCCTAGTACCTTTTAAAATAGTCTCTTTACTTTTATGCTTAAAGGCTTTAAATTTCAATTTTCAGTAGGAACTTCATAATACTAAAAGAGCTGGAAATCAATTTTAACTGATATATGCTTTTTCTACTTTCCAACAGAAAATTGCAAATTCAAGTTAAAGCATAAATTATGGCCATAAGTAATCCTAATGAAAGTAGACCTGATCTACTTTTGTGGTTTCAAATCTCAAAACTTTTTTTCTGCAAGTCATTATTACATACTGATATACAATGTAAGTGGCTTACAGTCAGTTTCCTTGAGAAGTTTATTTATGTCATATAGTCAGCAATAAACAGAGGTTCTCAAAATCAGACATACTCTTAGAGCGTGGGGGGTAGCTCAATGATAAAGTGCTTGCCTAGCACGCATGAGGGCACAGGTTCAGTTTCCTGTATCATGAGGAAAAATCAAAGAAACATGGCAAGCTATGGACAGTGGTACATGGCTGTAATCCCAACAGTTGGGAAGCTCAGGCAGGAGGACTCAAGTTTGAAGCCAGGTTGGGCTATGATAGTAAGACTGTCTCAGAAAAAAAAGCCCCGTGAATGATCAGACATATTCCAACATATATATGTATGCACGCACCCACACATATATTTAAACATACATAATCCTGAGGATATATTTTATTTTTAAAAAACCATAGTTTTAAATTTTACTTTACTTATAATTACTATGTGATCCAAAGAACATTTCTTGTTTCACTGTTATAGCTACTACACTTAGTAAGTATTCAACAAAAAAATGCTGAATAAGACCTTGGATAATAGTCTAATACAAAGAAAAGGCCTAGGGCCGGGGAGATTGCTCAGTGGAATAAGTGCTTGCCTGGCAAGCAAAAGGTCCTGAGTTCAATCCTTGGTACCATCAGAAAAAACAAAAACAAAAACAAAGAAAAGGCCTAAAGGCTATAACCTGAAACAACCTAAGGAGAATAATCACTGGCATACTTTTAAAATTACATTAAAAAATAGTTCTAGTGTTACTAATGTCAACTTCAACAGATCTTTGGAAACCATGTGACTTCGTTTATAAGTCTGTTGTAGGTTTGATAATGATTTGGCAGTTTTGTATACTAAAAATTATGGCACGGAAATAGAAACAAATAAAAGCAAGTCCTTAAACTTTTTTTACATATTCGAACAAGAAAAGTTGTTTGTGTATAATTTTTAAAAGGTAAAAACATTTATGTTGTGTCTATTCTTATTTTTAAAAAATGTTATTGTGAAAGCATTGGACCTAAGTGAGAGCCATCATTAAGTAACTATTTTCTCTGTATAATATGTGCAATGTAAAGTTTACCTATGAAAATAAAAGTTCTAAGAATAATTTTGCAATAAAATTTACCTCGCTGGAACTGGTAGTTTGGGGCAAAGATCAGCAGATTTTGTATATTCAGAAGGCTTTATGGAGTAGCTACATAGTGCTGAGCCTGTTGAAAGAAAAACTATATGTTAGCTGGCAAAAAAAAAAAAAAAGCATCTAGACAAATTTTCTTACTGGTTCATTTTAATTTGTTGATATGTTAATATTAACACAACTGCTAAAACATCATAAAATTAATATGAATCTGATTTTGTCTACATCCTAAGTCCTGAATCATTTAAAACTGTTTCTTTTTTGAAATGACTGATATTTTATGTACAAATTTTAATAATATTAAAAATAAAAACACAAAGTACTAAAAGTACCATTACTGGGTATCTGCCATATGTCACTTTTATACAAATTATATATAATTTATAACTTTATAAGGCAGGTATTATAAAGCTTAATTTAGAGTAAACAGAGCTAAGCAATAAAAGCACCTACCCAAGCACCAGAGCTAGTAAGTAGCAGAGCATCACCTCTCTGACTGCGGAGCCCATGTTCAACTACAACATGTTCTGTTGCTCTTTTCTATTTTTTTCCATTACTGAATATTTAAGTTGGCTGCATAGAGTACATATGTTCAGACGATATACTCATATAAAAAGCAGAAATATCCTTAACTGTAAATGTATTGAATACATCAATACATTTGGAAGAGTGATTGTCAGTTTTTGAAGTTTAAAATGACTTAAATTTAATCTTAGATTGGTTGTCCAAAGAACCATCTATTTTCTGATCATATGACTAATATATAACTAATTAAAATTGAAAATTGGATGGATGAAATATACCAAATCTGGGATATATTTTACTGACCTACTTCTGAAAGTGTCTAGAATACTGGGAGTATCTAGGCTCCAGCTCTAATTCTGCTGAGCATCTACTGCACTGTCACCAAAACCACTTATATTTGATTAACTGACGCTCCTACTAGAGTTCTAATCAGGACAAATACTTTATTATTGAATAACATCAGAACAGTTTTGCATTTGCATTATAATGGACTTTTACATCATATTACATATAAAAAAATCTTAAAATATAATGTGAGACAAAAATGCCAGACTTCAACACTGAGTTAAATATGAAAAATACACATGAGCACATAAGCAGAAAATGGAGTGGAATTTAGAAAAATGATTATGTCCAAGTTTATTGGGACAACAGTATCTGGAATAAATTCACAGTTTATTGGGACAACAGTATCGGGAATAAATTTACTTCGCTTATATCTTGTTTGACCAATCAATCAAAATATTTTTTGGACAGACAAAAATTGTCATTTAACTCAGCAATACTGTCTCAAACCAGCAAACCACATGCTGAGTGTCGTAATAGCATACTTACAGATATAGCACATATTTTAAGTAAAGATAATCCAAGTAACTTGATGATGCAAAAAATACTTTGAAAGAGACACCTGAAAGTTGTATGTCACTGTTCTCTAAACTTTTTCCTATTTTGACAGACTCAATGGGAGACTAAGTTTTTTAACCCGCTTTTGACTATTCTTTCTCATTTTAATAACAAATATTGCAAAAATAATTGAGCTAGGGAGATGGTGCAGGGTAGAAGCATTTGCCTAGCATACTCTGGGGTTCAATACCTAGTAGCACAAGAAAAAATTTAAATATTTAACTCTTATAAAATTATTCATGTTTAAAGATAAATGCCTCTGGCTTCTCTTTAAGCAATTTTGAGAAGAGTATGACAGCAATGGCAAACATTTCAGATTAATGTTAAAATAAGTAGGAGTTCTACTTTAGAATTGCTTATGAAAAAACAGCACACAACATGACTGTCAATTCTTGATATGAAATATCAACTTATTTCTTTCAGAGTCCAAGATGGAATCCATTTGCAAAATATAAAAGACACGAACTAAAGCACTTTGCATCAGCGCTAACACACTGCTTCATCTGAATTCAACGAACACAATCTCCATTCCCACCCGTGCTTCATTCAAAAAGGGAGGACAGCAGGTGCAACTCAGTCCGATTTTATACTTTCCCAGGATAATACTCAATGAAAGGATAATAGCACTATCTCTGATAGTCTTGGGGACATAGGCCAATACTAAGTAGATACTGTACTAAACAGATTATAGGAAAAAGATCTGTACAAAGTGGTAACAGCAACAATCATAAGAAACTTTATATGCTTATTGCTCAAGAAGGCAACCGAGTAGTCGCAGCGAAGAACACTGAAGCAATAATACAGTGGCAAACATTTTACAGCTCTTTCTCTTTTCATGTTTATTAGCTAATGCATTTTCAGTGAACATTTTAGAAGTATCATCTGATTTATTTATTTATTTTACAGTGGAAGTATAAACAATACCTAGCACAAAAAGTCTGGACATAAAGAGTAAGACTAATTTTCCTTTGATGCAAAAATAGGTAAAAACCTTATGTGACTTCTTCATTCAAAAAGGGAGGACAGCAGGTACAACTCAGTCCGATTTTATACTTTCCCAGGATAATATTCAATGAAAGGATATTAGCATTACTATGAAAAGTCAAGAACTAAAAATGAAAGCTTATCTCAAGTACAACAGAGGCAATTCATGCAACTCAGCCAATGCTATTCAAGCACTATCAAAATGAGTGATCTTAGGAACGTAACTTGGGCACATAAACATTTATCAAGATAAAGGATTGCTTAGCTTCTAGAATGTTTACTATATATAATTTCTCAAATGTCATATAATGTCCATTTATTTATTGCTTAGCTCGGTACCTTCCAATGAAGTTTCTATCCCCTACTCCAAACAATTACAGATGGAAAAAATGAAAATAAAAAGGAACACTTTGAAGGCTTTAAAAGCAACCACTGAAATATGTAGAAATAAAATTCTATACACTTAAGTTATCTGTTTCTTTTGTACCATTCCTAATAATCATATCAGCTAAAATATTCAATAAACTGGAGAAAAACAAACAAGTTTATGTGTTCTACAGGCACCTCAAAAACAGTATGCTTGGAAAAAAGAATTATTTCCATAACCCACTGTCTTATATGCTTTCTATCCTGGTTAATGGTTCCAATATGCATGAAATCCCAAAAGGGAAACATGCAGTTGTCACCTTATGTTGTCCTCTTTATCTATAATCCTGTTTTATTGAAGGAAGTTATCAGGTCCTGCCAAGCAGACTTTCCAATGTTATCTCAGACCTTCATGATATACTGAGTCAGTTTAAATCCTGTCCCAAAGGAGTTCTCATCTCCACCCTGTGAATGACCTTCACAATAGTCTTTATAAAATGTAGATTCTATACAGTCCTAGTCTAATAAAGCCCATACAACTTGGATTCAAGGCCCTCTTAAAATAGGATTCTATCTAAAATGCCAGACTAATCACAATACAATGAGCTATTGACATCAAATCTTGATGTTCATCAAGCCTCCAGGCTTTTTCACATGCAGTTTACTATTCTTGTGCTGTCCTTCCCAAGACTAGCATCTAAGTGAGTGAGAAAACTAAGTGGAACTTCTACAAACTATTCAAACTTTATCTCTGTCACCCTTTCTCTGATCTACTCAAAAAAGTTACTTGCCACTTAGCACAATTTAAAATGCTGCATATTATTTTATAATCTTTTATCATCTCCATTTTTAAAATGTGAGATTTTTGAGAATTGGGGTCCTATGCTTTTGAAATACCTGGAATTTCCATCCTCTAGTCCATGGGTGACACCCAAAATCCAACTATTAAATACAATAGTCACCTGTTAACCACTATATACTGGTGATACATACTATATATGGTGTTTATTTATTTTTCACTATTCACCTCAAAATACCCTATCTAAAATAGGGTTTTTCAACCTTGTTATTATATTTTGTGCCACACAATTCTTGGTCATGGTGGGGGGGGGGGACTGTTCTATGCTTTGCACAATGTGCAGCAACGTGCCTGGCCTCTATATACTAGGTTCTTGTATTTCTCCCTAAACTCTTGCTCCATTCTTACAACAGAAAATAATTACAAAAATTGCCTAAGGTAAAAGATCCATTAGTAGTGAAATAATGGTCAAAAATTAACCAGATTAAATTGAGAGTACTTGAGCATGGCTGTAATCTCAATCATTTAGGATGATGTGGCAAGAGGTCACAAATTCAAGGTCAGTCTGAGCATCTAGCAAGATCCTGTCTCAAAATAAAGTGCTGCAGAGGTAGGTTGGTGGTAGACTTCCTGACTTACAGGCTTGAATCCTTGGATCCAATCCTCAGTACTACCAAATAAAATAAGATACAATTGGGCAATTTATTTTTCCTTAAAATTTTTGTTAAACTGGACTTGTAAAACTTACAATCCCTTGCATCTGATGCAGGAGGACTGCTGCAAGTTTGAGGCCAACCTAGGCTACACAGTAAGTTCAAACCTCTTTCATAGCAAGACTGTCTCAAAAAATAAAAAAATAACTTACTTGTATGACACCTTGAAATTGAATGTAAATAGAGGCCTTAAAACATGACTTTGAAATATTCAATGAGTAGAAAAAAGTCTGTTGATGCACTGGTTTTCCTTATGAAAAACATTCTATTGCCTTATGTAGTCTAGTAAACTTAACCTTGCCTTTTATAATTAAGAAATCACTGTATACTTATATGCTAGAAGAAGGGAAGATACTTCCCCAATTTCAATTTCTAGTAACCCATGAAAAGTCTGGACATATCTGTTATACCCAAGAAGCATCTATCTACAGAAATGAGACAGCAGGAGGTGTGATACTGATGTCAGCCATTAGGGGCACATTCTACATACATAAAATTTGCTGAGTGAATTAACTTTGAACATCTGCCTATATGCAAGACTTTTGGTGTTGGGCGGAATAAGAAGTACAAGGACTGTACATTGATTCTTTGGCGGATATTTATCGTGTACTAACTATTGAATGAAGCAATTAGTTTAAATTGTATTATTGAATTAAGTTTTTTTCTTTATAAACAGTTAAGGATCCTTGTCTGACTGAAGGCAAATAATATAACTGCTATAATTGACCATTTTGTTTATTTATAAATGTTACCAAGTCCAACATTTTTATTTGCTCTGCCAAA